AGTAATGACCCTAGAAATTGAATCCAACAACTACTTGTATAACAGTATTTACATCCCTTAACCTACCTTAGGATAGTTTGGATGGGCAAACTATTGTAGGAAAGCATGGATGTGGTTGTGGATTCCGTGTGTGCCAAATTCTGTGTGGACTGTCTGAGACCAATGGGATGAAAATTGAATAAACACTTTTAGTTAAGGGCCATTTTTCAAGAATAGGTATTTAATAAGGGGCATTGCACATATAAAAAAAATCCCAATGAAGACAACCTTAAAAAGCTCATTGCAAAGCATCTCTTCGTAGCCTTTATGACTCGAGTGATTAAGCCTGTAAGGGTCTAAAACCTGATACCCTAAAGTCGTCTGGCTTGGGAGTCATCAACCTAAAGCTCGCTACAGGGGTCACCTAGAAAGCTTAAGGGGGAGACGACCGCTCAAAGAGTAGTTAAAGAATAAATACAAAAAAATTTGTTTTTAAGCTTGATTAAGCCTCGAACACCTGTTTTAGAGGAGTAGGCTTTTGGCAAAGGGTTAGTAACTTGGTTGATTATTGGAGGTTGAAGCAGTCAAAAATAAGAGAATCCACACTTACCGATATGTTGAACTACAATTAGTAAAATCCAACCAAACTTTAGATATGTAAGAAACTAGTATTGAAATTCAACTTTAGGATACACCTTGGGAAGAGAAGAGAAAAAAAGTTTGGGGTTGTGTGAATCCCACGAGTGGAGAAAGGAGATAATTGACTTCTGAGGGTAGGAGTTGAATCAACATATGAATGTCTGGCGTTATATTAGATTCTTCACACACACACGCACATGATCTAAAATGGGTGGGTTAGGAGCTACCTTTTGCAAAATAGCTTTGAAATAGTTCATAAACTCGATCTCACATTTCAATGTTGAGCAGTAAAAACATGTTCAACTAAATTATGCATTTGAATTCTTTAGCAGCATTTGTGTTTTTGCTTGGTAATTATTATTTATTGGTTGTGTTTGCTTGAGGACAAGCAAAGAACTAAGTTTGGGGGAGTTTGATGAGTGTAATTCACTCATTAAACATACGCCTCTAAATCACAAGGTTTAGCTTGTTCTTGAGCACTTTTGAACGTTTTGATGTGTGTGTTCGTGTTGTCTTGTAACTCAATCAACATTTGAGAAAACACCATAATTGGGAGCTTGTGATGAATCTAAATGGTGGTCATAAATTAGAGATAAGAAAAGAAGCTTGCAATGAAAAAGAAGCTTAGAAGATGAACGATTCAAGAAAGGAGCGGCTTGTTAGGTGCCACGGCGTCTAAATTGGGCGCTATGGTGCCCAACAAAAGAAGAAATTCAGTAGGAAGCTGGGCGCCACGGTGCCAGCCTTGGGCGCCATGGCGCCTAGCGTGAAAAGAAGCAACAGAATAGCACACAATTATATCACGGCGCCAGAGATGGGCGCCAGGGCGCCAACCTCGCAACGTCAAAAGCCCAATTTTTTGGATATTTCTCGGCCCAAGATGTTTCCTAACCACCCAAAATTCCAAGATAACATAAATACGAAGAAAAAAAACCTAAGGGGGGCCATTTTTCTGGTATTCTCTTTGGGCAAAAAAGGGTGCAAAAGTGAAGATCTATTCAAGAGGCAAGGACAAGAAAATTGAATTGCATCAAGATTGACAAACAATTGGTGAAGAACAAGTGACTTCAATCAGTTTTTCTGAACCCCTATTTACTATTTCTCATGTTCTTTATCTTATATTTTGGCATGTTGATCGATTCAAGCATGAACTAAATTCATAGATCTAGGGTTGATGTAGCCTATTTGAGACATGATTTGATTCTAATATAGTTATTTCTTTCAGTTTTCCATGATTTATTTGTGTTGTTTTGTGTTTAATGCTTTCAATTGCCTGATCACCAATTGAATGAATCGATGCCTTAAATTTAATGCTCGAGAGAGGGAAATTTAGACATGATCTGGAACAACATAACCTAAATTTGTAGGTTTCGAGAGAAAGTGCAAATCTTTGAGGGGTATACACAAGAACCAAGAGCTTTAATAATCTTTATGTATTTAATTCGGAATAGAGATATTGGGGTTAAAATATAAAGACAGGTTCTATTGGAACTCGAGAGAGGGAATAGAATTAAATTAGGGTTCTTGCTTATAAATTGGGAAAAAATCGATGGAAATGGCTATAGATGTTGAGAACATGTTGATAATATGGTGAAATCAATTCCTAGATATCCATAGTTTGATTTGATTTTTAGAATTTGTCTCACTTTACTTGCATTCTTTATTCCATTTAAATTAGATTAGCATAAAAACATCATTTAAAAATTGGATTTGTCTAAATAAAGTGAAAATCGAAACAATTATAATACTCAGTGGAATTTGAATATCAATTCCTGTGGGTTCGACACTTTTAAATTCTTCACTATATTACAAAACGCGACACCGCACACTTGGGGTTAAATCACGTTATATGAAACGTGTGGCAGTCATTAAGTTGAGTTATTTTGTTATATGTTCAGGTCATATGGTTAGTAGTCTCTACTTCTTAAGTCCTATGATTGGCTCTATACATAACACTACTACTACTAGAAAAAGAAAGATGTGTTTAGTACTAATAAAACTCTCTTATGGCATCTTAGGTTGGGTCATATTAATCTAAATAGGATTCAAAGATTGGTAAATGATGGACCTTTAAAAGAGTTAGAGGTGAAATCCATACCAACTTGTAAATCTTGTCTAGAAAGAAAGATAACTAAGAGGCTTTTCAAGGTTAAGGGACTAAGAGTTGAAGAAGTTTTGGAATTGGTACATTTTGATGTTTTTGGACCCATTAGTACTGGGCTAGAGGAGAATATAGGTACTTCATCACCTTTACAAACGATTACTCTAGATCCGGATACATATACCTTATGTGTCACAAATTCGAAGCTTTGAAGAAATTCTTGGAGTTTCAAACGGAGGTTGGAAACAATTAGGTAAGAGTATGAAGGTCTTTCAATCCAATCGAAGTAGCGAATATCTATCCTGAGAATTTAAGATCTACTTATCAGATAATGGGATATCATCCCAACTGAGTGCATCAAGGACTCCTCAACAGATTGATGTCCCGAAAAGAAGAAATCGAACTCTTTTAGATATGGTAAGATCAATGATGAGCTATTCATCGTTACTTATTTCCTTTTAGGGATATGTACTACAAACAACCATTTACATATTGAATTTAGTACCATCTAGATCAGAGATTTGTCTCTTTGTAGGATATCAAAAAAGAAACAAGATGTTATTATTTCTATATTCCCTTAGATAAGAAGGTTGTACAAATGTAACCTTCTAAGAGAACAAGTATATAGAAGAATACAAGTCTACTAGTAAGATTCTATTGGAAGAGGTGTTAGAACATGGTCCAAACAGCCCGATTTTAAATTTTTATATAGAATCAAATAGTAATAACTTAGAACCTCCTATAAAACCAATGGTTGCTGATGAGGTAAGTAAGCAAGTGATCATCACATAACCTCATGGAGAAATAGAACCAGAGGCAGAAGAGAACGATGTACCCATTGTTGCATTTCCAAATGCCCCTCACAATGGGGATAGTTAGAAGTTTGGTACTAACCAAGGGCAGGACCAACCAATGGAAAGAGAGGAACAACCTTTAGTCAGACTGGACATTCAAGTATCTTCAACTATTACTCATAATGAGTAGGTTGTGAGACCACCTTCCAGATACTTACTCTATGGAAAGTCCTATAAGGTGATCTCTGCTGAGTAAGAAGAAGATCCTACTTTATTTAAGGAAGCAATAGATGATATAGAGTTTGAATCATGAAAATCTACCATGAACTCAGATATGGAATCTATGTATTCTAACAAGGTTTAGGATCTTGTGGATGCTCCTAAAGGAGTCAAACCTATAGGCTGCAAGTGGGTCTATAAAAGGAAAATATGTATAGATGGGAAGATTGAAACCTTCAAAGCAAGGCTAGTGGCCAAAGGTTTTATCCAAAGAGAACATATTGACTATGAAGAAACCTTCTCACCAGTTGCCATGTTTAAATCTATTTGAGTTTTGTTATCCACTGCTATTCATTTTGATAATGAGGTTCGGCAAATGGATGTTAAGAAAAAAAATTTAAATGAACATCTTGACCAGACCATCAACATAATATAACCTGAAGAGTTTGTGAAAGAAGGCCATAAAAAGGAAAGTTTGCAAGTTGCAGAAGTCAATTTATGGACACAAATAAGCGTGCAAGTCTTGGAATGTAAGATTTGATCAAACCATTAAGACATATGGTTTTGACCAAAATCTGGATAAATCCTGTGTTTGCAAGCGTATACAAGGGAAGAAATTAGTTTTTTGATTCTTTATGTGGATGATATTCTACTCATTGGAAATGAAGTAGGGATATTGTCATCTGTAAAAAAATGGTTGTCATAGCAGTTTGATATAAAGGACTTGTGAGAAACTAGTTACATTTTGGGAATCCGTATCTTACGAGATAGGAAAAGCAAAAGGATAGCATTATCCCAAGCTTTATATATTGACAAAATATTATCTACATTAGCAATGCAAAATTACAAAAAGGGACAACTTCATTTTAGATATAGAATTCATCTATCTAAGGAGCATTCTCCCATGACTCCAATAGAGATAGATTATGTGAAGAAGGTTCCTTATACTTCGGATTAGGAAGCCTCATGTATGCTATGCTTTGAACTAGATCGGGTAGTTGTTATGCTGTGAGTATTGTTAGTCATTACTAGTTTAATCTAGGACCAGAACATTGGGTAGCAGTGAAGCATATACTCAAGTGCCTTTGGAAAATGAGAGATTATATGCTTGTCTATTCAGGACATGATCTGAATCCCATTGGATATACTGATTCCAATTTTCAATCCGATCGTAACTCTAGAAAGTCTGTATCGGGTTCAATATTTATACTGGGATGTAGAGTTGTGGAAGGGAGGAGTATCAAGTAATTTTGTATTGCTGATTTCACATGGAGGCAGAATATATAGCCATTTGTAAAGCTATTAAAAAAGCTGTAAGATTCAAGAAGTTTCTTTTGGACCTTGATGTGGTACCTTTGGTAATGGAACCCATAATGCTTTGTTGCAATAATAGTGGAGCAGTTGCCAATGCTAAAAAATCAAGGAGTCATCATCGTGGCAAGCACATCGAGAGGAAATATCATCTTGTTAGAGAGATTGTTTATTGAGAAGACGCGACGATTAGCAAGATTGCATTAGCAGATAATCTTGTGGATCTATTCACTAAGACCTTACCATTTAAGGCTTTTAATGGGCATCTTGAGGGATGAGTATTCTTAAAATGTCACATATACTCTAAAAGGGCAAGTGGGAGATTGTTAGTTTGATGCCCTTTTCGAGTAGAATTTTGTAAAAAGGCATTATGAATTGACATTCGATTATTCGTGTGTTTCAATTTGAAATGATTATCTAAAGTTATGTGATCATAAAGGATGTCACAAATTGTTTACTCGATCATTATGGTACAGTGAGACACAATTCGTAATGTAATCAAAATATGTCATTCACAATTAGTACATAAAGTTGGAGCTTTATGTTGATAATATTGCATTGTTCTTATTAAGATTATTTAGATTTTGAAATAAGAACAATAATGCATTTTTCATGCACATTGAACGAATCACATAGACGAGTCATTTGTGACCACTCGGAATGAGATTCTACTCGATCATCAAACAAGTGACCTAAATCCTGAACAAGTTATGTACCTTTGATTGCTAGTTCAAGTTCTTTGAAGTACCAAAAAGTGAAGTCTTAATTAGAAGATTGATCTCGGTGCATTGGGAATTAGGCCGAAATAATTACAAATCATATACTTGCGATAGTGGAGTCCATTAATTATTGAGATGAGATGATCGTCACTCTAAGGTATTTTGTATAGGCAACTGAACCTGAGCTCAATAGTCCGATGATGAGTTCGTTGTACTATATATTGTGATTTGATCACAATGAATTTGCCTTATAAAAATGGAACTTAGAGTTTGATACATGTTGAAGGGCAAAATGGTCATTTTTTTGTCTTCAACATATTGACAGTCAAATGGGGTTGACTTGTGAAACGATAATCGAAGGATATTGTTATTGAATCATAATTTGCTTTTATAATTGTTACTCGACTTGAGAGTACAATTTCAATGTTTTTGTAGAATGAGTCAGGATTAATGAATATATCTCAATTAGTCAATAATTGATCCAATTAGAAACATCTATTGGAGCTTAAGTCCCGTGAATCCAGTTAGGTCCCTTTCTTAGCTTCAATAAAGGTGCATGACTTAATTGGTCTACTACAGTAAAGTCCTAAAAATTTTGTACAATTATGAAACCCTAATTGAATATAATGAATATGCCTTTTACTAGCACATTTTCATATGTTTTTAGGGTCAGCCACATTTTCATTTCCCAAAGAGGGAGGTACCTAAAGTGGCACAATGGAGAAGACCTAAGGGACAAAGTAATTGACTAGGCTATTAAAAGCTCTTTCAAGGTTATCATCTCCTATTTATGCATGAGGATTTTAAAATATCCAATGATTTCAAGGTGATCTAAGATCCTTTATTCTTTCTTGTTTTAATCTTCAAACGAAAATTAGTTTTCTATTGTTATGATTAAATCCAATAACCAACAGTAAGATGGAGTTTTCGATGTTATTTCGGACAGAAATTATTTGAAGAATTTTTATTATTTGAAGAATTTTTAATATTTAAAGAAATCTGATCTTGAATTTTCTCTTGGATCCGAGGCTTTTTTTTTTAAGAGTGAAAGATTGATATCATATTTTAACCATTTTTACATTGTGCAATAGTCCTATTCATAGACTGTTGTAAGGGTATCTCGATCATTTATTATATTGGAAGTTATTATTAGGTCCAATTTCAAGGCTTTGTTGAGGTTCGTGTTTTACTTATCAAGTGATCCGTTGTGTGAAAACCCCATTATAATACATTAATACCTATCCCTAATCCCTCGACAATCGACACAATCTTTCCAGGGGTGTAAAACCCACTATAAACCTATGTTCGCTTAATGGCTTTGTTTTGTAATTTATTTATTTATTTATTTGGTTATTACCATTGTAAGAACTAAGAAGAGATGACGGCTTAAAAGTTAAATCTTGATTCCTGTGATTTTTGAATATTGTAGCCGATGTTTTTAATTTTTTCTTCGATTTGTTGCATCATATTAGGTACTAGGTAGATATTTCATATTAGTTGGGATTTTTGTTGACCCATTGGTCATTGTTTTGTTTATTCAATTACTGCTTGTTGTTTCTATCTTTATAGTAAACTAAAATATTTCTTTTTTCTTGTAGATATTTTACTATGAGTATTTCTATCCCTCGATATCAAGTAAATATTACATGGAGTCATAGACATTCAATTTCAATACTTTAATAAATGTTTTCTATTACGTGGGAGATAAGTGCAATAAATTTTATCATTTTATGTATTTCCGTTTGATGATCTTATTTTTCTTAAGTTACAATATGAATTAAAAGAGTGGACTGAAAGTTCATTCTAAATTCTGATGCGGAATTCTTCTTCATTATCAACAGGCTTAGTTGTCAAGTGTCAACAAGCTTAATTCCACATATACGTAGGAAAAGCAAAAACTTCAATACACCCTAGTAAGTAAATGTCTCCATCTCTCTACTTATTGCATTGCCGGCAAAAATTGAATTGAATGTTGTCGTCTATTTGTCTATGTTGCCTTGTCGACTTAATGATTGTTGTTATTACCTTGTTGGCCTAATGAATTATTTTTGTTGCCTTATCAGCTTAATAAATTATATTTTGATTGACGTTAGAGCAATATTATTGATTGATTTTTATTTTTATTTTTTACTTTTACTTACAATTTTAAGAAATTGAAAATGGAAGGTCAACCACTTCTCAAGAAGAATTAGAACTTGTTTTCCTTCTTCCAAAGGGTAGATCGACCAACCGAAAGCACTTCTTCTAATGGATTAACTAAAGATCAACCTTTACTTCCACCAAAAATCAAACAACGTTCATCCTCAAAAATTAGTATTGAACAGGAATAGAAAAAAAGAAAGAAAATACTTGAATGTCCTTTTTATCTATGAGATGAGATTAGAGTAACATATCTAAAGGCTGGGCCTTATCAACCAAAACATGTTGAATATCCAAAGATACAAGGAAAATCTCAGTCTCATCGCTTTCAGGCAAAATGGTTCAACCAGTTTTCTTGGCTAAAGTATTCACCTATAACAAATAAGGCATATTGTTTTTATTTTAATCTTTCTCGAAATGATGAGAATCCGTCCAATTGTTCGACACTGGTAACTTCTGAATATAACCAATGGAAAAGGGTTAATGATGGATTAAAATATGCGTTTCTTACGCATTTGCGATCATCGGATCATAATATGTGTGAGAGAAGAGCTAAAAATTTAATGAAACCGTCTCAACATATTGATGAAGTGATGCATACCGTATCGAATTCAGAAGTTGAGAAACGTCATTTACGTTAAAGACTTCAATTCGAAGAGCTCGATGGCTAGCTTTTCAAAGTTGTTCTTTCAGAGGTCATGACGAATCTCCATCTTCATTGAATCACGGAAGTTTTCTTGAAATGATAAAAAAATTGGCAGAAATGAATACAGAAATTGATCAAGTTGTTTTGAACAATGCTCCAAAAAAAATTTCAATAAATTACTCCGAGTATTCAAAAAGAAATCTTACATATAATGGCGAATAGAGTAAGAATGATGATTAGCGAAGAAATCGGGGATGGATACTTTTGTATTCTTGTTGATAAAGCACAAGATACATCTAAGAGAGAACAAATGACCATTATTTTGAGGGTTTGTGATTCGTCAAGGTGTTTTGATTGAACGCTACTTTGATATCAAAAGCGATAGTGACACTGCATCATCAAATAAAAAAAAAAGAGATTTTAAGCGTTCTTGCTCGACTTGAACTTCAGGTGGCAAAAATGAGAGGTCAAGGATATAATGGTGGTAGTAATATCCAGGGCACATGGAATGGACTTCAGGCATTATTTTGTAAAGATTATCCGTATGTGTATTATGTCTATTGTTTTGCTCATCGATTACAATTGGTATTGGTTTATGCAGCTAAAGAAGTTAGTGTTATTTGGGAGTTATTTTCTCATTTAGACAATATTATCAACATTTTCACTTCTTCCCCTGAATGCATTACAGAGATACAATCTGCTCAAAAAATGAAATTGAGCATATGTTAGCTCCTGGGGAGTGAGAGTCGGAAAGAGGAACAAATCAGATTGGTAATTTACAACATTAGGAGCAACTCGTTGGAGTTCTCATAATAACTCTATAAAGAGCTTGATAGATATGTAAAATGCAACTTGCAAGGTATTTGAAAATCTCAATGTCCATTGTCCAAATGGAAGATCTCGAGACAAAGTTTGTGGCACTTACAAACATATGAAAAATTTTGATTTTGTGTTTAGTTTGTATTTAATGCATAACATCATAAGATTAACCGTTACTCTTTGTCAGACCCCGCAAAGGAAATTTTTAGACATCTTGACTGCTATGAGATTTGTTTCTACCACAACAAAACTCCTTTAAAAAAATGAGAAATAATGATTGGGAAGAATTTCTTCAAGAAGTAAAAAAGTTTTGCTCAGAACATGATATTAAGATACGTGACCTAGAAAGTTTGTAGAAGATTGGTCATTATCATTCTCGTGATCAAATTACAACTCATTATCATTATCACTTTGATGTTTCAATGAAATAATAGATTTCGTACTAAATGGAATTAAATACAGGATTTAATGATACATTAGTTTAACTTCTCACACTCAGTGCAGTTTTGGGTCCTAAAAATTTGTTTGAATTATTTAGCATTCATGATATTTGTACACTTGTTGAAAAATTCTATCCTGAAGATTTTTCAAAGCAAGATATTTATACTTTGGAATATGAGTTGCGACATTTTGAGCTAGATATGAAGAGTGAACCTCGATTTCAAGTATCTACAGTTGTTGAGATATGTCGACAGTTAACTGAGAGTGGTAGGTCAGAGTCTTATATTATGGTTACTCGATTGATTTGTCTTGTACTGACTTTACCTATTTCTATGGTGAAGCGAGCATTTTCAGCAATGAAACACGTGAAGACGGATCTTCGTAACTGAAAGGAGGATGACTTTCTTGTTGATTGTATGACACTCTTCATTAAACGAGAACTTGCTCAAAAGATAGATATAGATTCTGCTGTTGATAAATTTTATGTTTCAAAACCTCGTTGGGAACAACTTCAAATTTAAAAAATTTGACTTTAATTCGTATATGAATTTACTATATCAACTTTTAAATTTTAACCCGTGCGCCAAAAGTTCTAGGATCCACCCCTAGACGCACTCTTTTAATCTAACACACATTGGCCGTCAAAGCTTGAATATTCGTCTTGTGATGCATGGGTGAATGATGTGGCCCTTTTGTGCTCGATTTAGAATCTAGCCAGATAATGATTATTTCAATTTATAACCCCAATTATATGAATTGACCATGGATAAGGATGCTAATGTTAAGGATCATCTGAATAAGTTTAATAAGCATGATAAAGTTGTTAAATGTTGATGTTAAGATTAAGCCCTTCTTTGAGCCCTATTTTCTTTTTTCTTTTTTTGTAATTTATTTTCTCAAAACTCATTTCCAACCACATATTTTTCAATAAAATAATTTTGCACGTAAATCGAAAAAAATCTTACTTTTTAACAATACGCTTTCCAAAAAAAAGTTTTTCAAAGTACATTTTTCTCAGAAATGGGGATCAAACAAGAGCTAATAATGATGATAAAGCAATAATGTTGATGTAATACTTGTTTGCTTAAGTCATATGAGATGATGACCACGCTATTGGCTGGAAAAAAACATAGAATGAGATCTCCATTGCTTTGTTAGAGATGGCCAATATTAAAAAGCCAAGTAGTATTGTAAATGGTTATCGAGTTCCTTAACAAAGTTTGACATGAGGCATGACCAAGGTGAAAAATGTCTTTCCAAGTAAGATGTGAAATGTTACTAGTACTACAAGTAGGGGCATGTTAGGAAAAATTGTCAAGGGTTGAAGAAACGCTTATTCTGAAGTTAAAAAATTTGGAGAGTCTAAACAAATCTCATATGATACGAATGTGGTTGAGTATGAATTTGATGGGATGACCTCTAGATTAGGTTTACCCAATTGAGTCTTGAATTTTGGATGTTCTTATTATATGTGCATGTACAAAGATTGGTTTTAGGATTTTAAATTATGTGACAAGCGTAATGCTATGATGGTTGATATCATAAATTTGAAGTTAACAGTACAAGTATTATGTAGATGAAGATGTTTGATGAAATAGCAAGACAATGAAAGTAAAAAAAATTGATGACTTGTACAAGCTAATATGGAAGACAGTTTCAAGTAGAACTTCCATATGTGAGTCGCACCAAGAGAAATCTTCTAATATTGGAAAAGATCATGAATTACCAAATAAGTTTGTGGATAATGGCAAGAAGATGGAAACTTGGAAAATGAAGATGTCTAATCGTGAAGTTGGGTTTAAGGATTTTTGGGTTTGGTGTATGTCTAAATCTAATACAATTCGTCAAGGAATGGTGACACCTACGGGTTAGTGGTTAGGTGTGCAAAGATCGGTATTAAGGCATGCCGTGATTTGAAAGATTTGAGTGAGGGTTGGAGATTGTCGTAATTGATTCAAATTAGACTAAAGAAAAATACTTTTCATCTAATAAGGGAAAATGACTTTAGGGAGATGCTTACCGTAGTAATGTTCAAGCATGCCACAACAAAAGGAGATGATGTAGTTTAACATCGAGTTGAACCTCTATAAATGCTATATGTTCTTGAGTGTTTATTTTTCTTTTTTTAAATTGATTGCTCTTAGCGAAATAGAATTAGGGTTTATAATTTTCAACAACACCTCTACTCCAAAGGGAGAGTTAAGGATTTCCCATAGCCAAAGACTTGGGAAGAAAGGAGTGAATTAGGAAATGAAAGACCATAAGCCCAAGAACCAACATAAATATACATAATGCATATTGGAATTGGTTCGCAACCAATGTGTGATTTCAGGCACAGAAAAAAAGTTGGACATAAGAAGTTGGATTGAAAAGTGGTACGCAGGTGTTTTTAGCATATGTTGATTGTTCTAGTTTTATTTGGCTTTTAAGGAAAATTGTATATTATGAGGAGAATTTCTAAGTTTTTTTATTTTTATTTTCGTGTACTCATCGATGATTTGTCAAGGTATGTTTAATTCTATTTTTTCATTTTATAACCTGCTGTTCATTTTTTTCTTTTACGATGTTGCTCATCATTTGGTGATTTTTTCCCAACACTAAATAAAAACATTATTATTTACTTATCATTTTTTTTTCATTGTACTGGAAATAGAAAAAGTAAAAAATGTGAGATATTTTAGTGAAGTGGTCTGACACAAACTTCTGGGAAAACAAATATTTTAAGGTCAAGTAGTATGAAAACTCTATATTCTTGTCGGCTCTTGATAAAAGGAGTATACTTGATTTATGGTTATGAAAGCATGTTAAATACAAAATTCAAATAAAATACATAAATTTTTTTTTTTTTTTTAATTTTCCTAGATATACATATTATTTTATATACATATAATTTAGTAAAACATGATTGGGATTTCAACTAAAAAAAAAAAAAGAAAAGAAAAAAGAAAAAGAAAGAAATTTAGGGGGTGTTCTCTTTGTGTTTCAGTTTTGTGTTTTGAGTTTTGAATTCATTTTGAATTTTGTGTTTTGAGTGTTTGTTTTGAAATTGTTGAAAATGCGTTCTTTTTGTTAGTTTCTCAAAACAAAAAACAAAAATTTTTTTTTTTTAAATTTTGAGAATCACCACAACACCACCTCAAAACACCAAATTTTGAAATTTTGAGAATCACCACACTATCTCCTCAAAAAAAAAATTTTTAATTTTTAATTTTTTTTGAAATTTTGAGAATCACCACACTATCTCCTCAAAAAAAAAATTTTTAATTTTTAATTTTTTTTGAAATTTTGAGAATCACCACACTATCTCCTCAAAAAAAAAATTTTTAATTTTTAATTTTTTTTGAAATTTTGAGAATCACCACACCACCTCCTCAAAAAAAAAAAAAAAAAAGGGTTCCCTTTGTGTTTTCTTCACAAATTTTTTTTCGTTTTCGAAAACGGGAAAGAGAACGCGTTTTCACCGTTTTGAAAAATCGAAAACAGAAAACGACCCGAAAACAGTAAAGAGAATAGGGCCTTATTCACTTTTTATTGATACCACCATTGTATGTAAATCATTATATAATTACCTTATATACAAGTAACATTATTCTTTATTATTTTCTCTTAGTATCTAAACGTCTACATGAAAATTGAAATTCTTTAATAATAAGGTTTTTTTTTTTAAAGAAATTCGAGAATCATCTAGAATGGATATGGAGCATTTATTGTCAAGCTCAAAAGTAAAAAAGAAAA